TTCTATAAACTGTCCCTCGGCATTCTTCAAATATCCAAAAGATGCCCGTACTTCCCACTTTGTCTTCTTTGAGGGATAAAAAAATGTCCTGAGCGCTGCCGTCTCCTCATTTGGCCATTATTTCAGCTTTAGCTTCAAGAAAGTTTTGGTTGTAAACAACAAAGCGCGCTGGTAAGGGTCACCGCACCTACACCGCAGCCACGGTTATCCACCGAGATAAGATAGTTTTTTTTTTAAACAAGACGGTTATTATTATTGTCAACTTTTTTTACCGGGGTTTACCGCTACACCGGTTACCGTGGCAACCCTACCTGATCTGTCTGCTTTGATCTATTTTGAAAACTCCAATCAAAACAGATAGGGGCGCTATCGGCCGACTGGGATCAAATGCCGATCCATCGGTGCATCCCTATCCTTAACCCTAACCCGTACATAATAGACATGCCACCATTACATTGTTAGCAGCAGAAATTAAATATTATTACCATTTCCAATACAAATGCATGCTAATGAAATGCATTCTATTTTACTGGATATATTTATGTGTTATTTTGACTACGATGAGTGTTATTAATACAAACCTAAAATGTTACTGAAATGTAGGTCAACTATTTAAAAATATTTTAACTATAAATATCCGATGGGGAAAAAGGGAACTAAACACCAGTCTAATGCATATTATTGAGCCTTTTATAATATTTTGCCTTTAAAAGAGTGAGGTGGTTGAATGCACAGAGTATGCATGTGCTGGCGCACGGTCAGGATGGTACCACCTCTGCCTCAATTTGAGCCAGGAAAAACCCTGCATTCCATGAATGCATGCACAGTTGCAATCCTTAGGTTTCCTTGAATAAGCTAACCCACAGAAACCTTCCTGCAAGTCTTGTCTAAGAAATAAGAAAAGGGAGAAATATAACTCTTAATAGAGTAGTAAATAAACATGTAAATAAAAATACAGCCTAAACACAGTTTGCTAACATTTAACATGAAGCATGATGGGGACGCGTTATGCAAAACACCAATCTTATTCTATATGATATCTCAACCCAGAGCTCTTACCTAAGAAATAAACGCAGAGCCAAAAATAACAGCCTGGAGGAATTTAAGTAAGAACGATACTTAAGAAGTCTACTAGTTAGGAATTTTCTTATGAATTTAAAAGAAGCTTGGGATTTTAAATGTAAAGATTATAATCAGACAACTTTCTTTTCACATGGAGGAGGTTCAGCTGGTGAAGGTTCAGTCGAGGTCTGCTTTGCACTCATCACTGTCAGTGAGACAAAGTGGGACTGACTCCTTCGGGGATGGTTTGACTGATCTCTACCTCCAGCAATCTAAAGATCACCTATAGCCTGACCCCTACTGTCCCTTTGGGTGTAGAAAAAATCAAAGTTGAGGAAGAGAAATCCATTAGATGCTTAGACATGCTGCACCAGGGTAGAAGGTAAAAAAAAAAAACAGCAACACATCTGTCAGATTTTTATGGGGTCATGAAAGGCCATCTGTGGTCATTTACTAAGTAAGCTTAAACATTCCAAGAACATAAAACGTTGTTTTTTTTTAAGTTTCTTGGTTTAATTCAAGGATAAAAATAAAATGAGAGATTGTGTTTTTTTTTTCACTTTAAAGAAAGTTCTTAACATATTTCTTATTCACATTTACACACACAACGATAAGGGAAATGAGGCCAATCAAAGGATTAAGCGTCTTGTCCGGAGGACACATCAACACAAGGCAAGGCAGGGGATTGAAACCTCGGTGTTCCACCGGGGGGAAAAAAACGTTACCAATGACCATCTGTGACCCCACAATTAGAAATATTAAAAATGCCTGGCTGGTGCAAATCAACTTAAAGCATCAAAAACAGGCAGAGAAGACAACTTGATGGGATTACAATGAAAAAATAAAAACATGAGAAAACTCCTAACTCACAGAATCGAAGTGTAAAAGTCTAGCAGGTAGGTGCCAGACATGTTGTGCTTCACAGCTACAGCTGAAATCCTCTTTATCATGGTTTCCTTTTTCTTTGTCTCACACAGATGATCAGGTGCACCGCTTTGTGTGACAAATCAGAACTGTGCACTTGTGCTAGTATGTCCCTCCCTGGTTGATTCTGTATGCTTATGGGGATCAGAATTACGCTGATTTAGTCTTAAACCGGGATTAGGTACAGCTGATCTACACTATGAGCCACCACACAGGTGTGAACTGAAAAAGCCACAGAAACAGACTCGAAGCAGACTACAGTAAAAACTTAAGGTGACCCAACGATTGAATGGTTTGGTACTGTGCCAAAGTCTTGAGCCAATCCTCATTCTTTAAATATGTGAATATATAGTCTGGCCATGGTACATCAACGGCTCTCAGTTGTGAGGCAGGATGTATGGTTGTCTTTCAAACTGTCTCCACATGCCATTGGATAACAAACAACCCACAGCTAACGATGCCAGCCAACGAGACAATCTGTCATACTCCATCAAAGCAGATGCAAATACATCATTTTTCTAAATAAACTTAAGTACATCTATCTGCTCTTGACTCCAAAAAATGCCCAAGTCAAATTAGTCCTAAGTTGATGCCAAAGCCATTTCAAACAAGCCGCCGCCATCTTTCTTTTTTCAGTAACATCCTGCCCACCAACAGATTGCTGTGATTGGCCCACCTAACCAATAGAGTGCTGTTTTTGGACTGCTATGAAGCCATCGCCACCTTAGTTTCACTCTGTCGCAGTAACTTCCCCACCCGCCTGGCTGATAGAGCGCAATGATTGGCTCACCAAACAGATACAGCACTGTGATTGGACCGGTACCAGCTGTCTGGGGCTGTGGTGGTTCCAATGGCTAGACCATCCTTTTGCTTCTGCAAAATGACGTTCTAGATTTTAGGCTGGGGAAACATCTAAAACAAGCTGGAATCCAGCCCTTGCAATGCTAAAACACCACCGCTAAGCTAGAACAGGTTGAAACGTCGAATGAAGCGTAAGAGTGAACACTACACCAATCCCTTAGCTTCAAAGTACAAAAGGATGAAACTCTATTCCTTCCCCTACTTCCTCCTCCACAGTTAGCTTGAATTTTACAAACCGACATGCATTCAATACAGGTCCAGTTAGCATTTAAGCTAGGTTGTTGTGCTATGCTGACCCCTGGGAACTGGGGCACATTCTCACTGATTGGCGTCTCCTTCTTATGAATACGCAACTCTTTTGGTGAATATTTATTTTTGCTATAGAGGGCAGGGACGTTGGGGAAATAAATTATGAAAGCTTACCAAGAACAGGGTCAGATAGTCAGATTTAAGCGTTTTAAAATTACATTTTTTAAACTACATACCGCAGCTTTAAGACTTATATCAAACAAGCCAGGGGCCTCGTTCATGAGACCAACTTGAGACAAGAGTTGCACAAAAATTTTGTTTTTTTATCCGTTTTTCCTTTCCATGTCTGGGAAATGGGAAGTCTGGGCCTCTCTGCTTAGGCTACTGCACCCGCAACCTGACTCCGGATTACTAAACAAAAATGGATGGCTGTCTGAGAAATTGCAGTAAGTCCCCTTCTTTACCTTTTTATTTGAAATGAGCAAAGGTTTCATTGTAGGCCATGATGTTGTGCATAATTTATGGCTAAATCAATGCTAAGCAGCTCTTAAACACACCTGATCTCTTCTATGGCAACTGAACGACGACACTGTAAAAACAAGCACACACATCTCAGACGTCCACTTCTTCTCTAAGACCTTATCCAAACACCAGCTGTAAACAACTCGATTTGCCTCACAAAACGTTTGATCAAGCCATCATCATGGAAAACACACACACACACGCACACACACACACACACACACACACACACACACAATTACCATGCAGTATGACTGCTATTTTGGAAAAACAAAAATCTGTGTTAGAGAACACGTATGAACCTGGCAAATCTTCTGAATCTATCACTCATCGGTCAAGCTTGAAGTAGCATGTAATGGCTGAATAATCGTATTAGAAGGTTTTGCTCCCAGCAGAAAGAAAGCAGGAGGAACCATCAGCCATGTTCTCCTGAAACATGTCTTCATTCATGACTTAATAAATCCCTGCCTCATCCTGAATGCATGAGGCATTTTAAATGTATGTGCACACAGGAGGACTCCACAAAGGGAAATCGATAACTTCCTCCACCCCTATGTAAATCAGATGTGAATGAAGTCTGCATGCATGTACTGAGTATATCTGAGCTCATCAAACAGCCAATCACAGATGGAAAACAAATCCCCTGAGATTAGACATTACATCCTTGTTTGGTTATTTTTTCATCTGAACAAAGAAAGTTGCACAGGGTACAGTAAGTCATTTTCATTCAAAAGGCGAAAATAAAGGATTTGGGGGGTTTGGTGTAATCCATCATCGAGGTAGACTCGCCAATGACTCAGCACCTGTTTTGCACCGCTCTCATCAGAAGGAGATGGAGCTCTAATAATGCATTTGTTTGATTTATATATTTTAACAGTGATCTAATATTAACTATATATTTGATGTGCTGTATGAAAGCCTGTGTGTCCGTATTTGGCACTGCAGAAAGACAAGTTCCTGCAGTCACCGCAGTGCATGAAGCCTTTCAGTGGCACAATGCAGACATCATCAGACCTTCAGCACAACAAAAGCCTAATTAGACCGATAAACAATTACGATAATTAAGCCAATCAAGTTTTTTCCCCGCCTAATAATAGGCTTTTTTATGATATGTGGTTAAGCTGTGATGTCATATCAGACAAAACCCGCAAAATAGCACATTAAAACCTGGATGCACAACACACACTAACACCGAGACCCAGTTCTGCTGTACTGAACAATGCCTCCTGTGCTAAAATCCGTAAACTAAATTCAGGTCACTAAAATGATAATTAACTCGGCTAGAGGTTTAATCTGTCAGCTGATATGTTATGTTATTTTTGTATCATTTTTTTTCTTTAAAATGTTTTGTTAACGGGCTAACAGAAGCGCAAATGCTTTACCTGTTCGGTGCAGTGTCTTCCAGTACATCTCCGGCTCCGTCTGACAGCCAGACGCCGCAGCTTACACTTACCGTAATGCGTGTACTATATGCGCAGATAGACCGAAGCAGTGATTTATTTTCCTCTTTCTGTAGTTTGTTGGACATTTACACATTGGAGATTGTAAAGAAAAACAGAAAAGACACACAGAGTATGTCAGCATTAAACAAACGATATTCTATTCATAAAGTAACAATAATGTTAAAACAGAAATATCAGTTGAAGGATCGGCTGGACGATTTAAACAAAGCTGTTTTACTGGGACTACCCGGGAATAATTTTGTTCAAATGGAGTAGTTTTACTGAAATAACAATTTCTGAATTTATTATATAAAGTTTTATTAAAACAATGCGTGATGAAGCAAGTTAAATGTCTTATAGCATGGCGCCCCCTACAGCTCATGTGCTGCTGTTACATCCAAGTAACGTTTGAACTGGACTAAATAAATATTATTTAAATAATGTATGATTTTTAACTATTCGTTTCAATTAAACCAGACTCAACCTAACACATGGGTAGATGAGTCTTTACGGTATCTATGTCTATGGGTCGTACACATATAGTGTCACGCTGACTTGGCGGGGGGGTGAACTCTGGTGTGTGTCCTCCTCCAGGTGAGCCAAATGAAGAAATCAAGAGCACACAACCTCACAATTCAGTGGCTTCTCAAGGCATGCAGCAGGCATTCAGCCAGTGTGTGACAAACTGAGATGGCAGAGGCAAGCAAACAATTCAACTGTGTGGAGGACTTTTGATATTGACAGGCTATCGGTAACTTTTGGACTGATTCATATGGACTTGTGTTTGATCCAAGCTCTTGTGGCAAACAAATGTGTTGGGAGAAAGTTTGTAATTTCTTTGAGTTGGAGTAGTGTTTGGTTAGAATTAAATCAGATTCTTTGTTAACAATAATCCTTATTTCAAACCTTAATTAATGTTTTAAAAAAAACAAGTTAAATACTAAAAAGGTAACTGTGTATTAAGTAAATTACAGATGTTGGCTTAAATGCTTTTTAATTTGTTATCTGTTGATTTAGTTTTGTGTTTGTGATTGTTAAAACGTTCTGTTTTGTATTTAAAGGTTTTCACCTGATACTGATGCTGACCTTTATGATGATCCTGAAACTGGTCAAACAGACATCTGAGTGAAGCCAAAGTCTGGTCTTTTCAAGTGTAGACGCCTCACAGAAAAAGAAGCACTTGACAATTGGATTATGGATTTTAGTCCGTAATACTGTCCCCTTGTGGCCACCAGGAGTTTCTCTTGCATAGTCCTTCAAATTTCATTTCAATTTAAATTCTTTGAAGGAAGATGAAAGACCCTTATTTTCAAATGAAACGGGAAAGTTTTTTATTTTTTGTACTTCTCTCTTAATAAAGAAATGATGAATATTTCCAATTTTTACCCTAACCTGCAGTCTTGTGCTTTATTGCAAGGCTCTTTGTGATTAATGTGTATCAATTCTAAATAACTCCAGAAAACTGAATTTGAGTGGGTGTTTTGATTTCATCCAGAACTGAAAAACTGCATTTTGAGCCAAACGGTTGGAGAAGATCTCGCAAAACATTACAAATTGTCATTAATGGCTTACTGAGTGCGATAGTGTTCCTTCTCATGACAAATGCTCTCCTCTGCTGTGCATCTCTGGTACATTTTGCATATTTATTTTTGGGTTAGCAGAACCTTTATGAAGAGATCTTTAGAATGTGAACTTTGTTTTATTTTAATGTCTTAAATCTGCCTTGAACCAACTTTAAATTATCCAGAATGCTGCTGTGAGGCTTTTAACAGGATCCTGCAGATGTTGCCATATTACGTCTTTAATTTCCTCCCTGCACTGGCTCCAGGTTAAATACAGAATTGCCTTTCAAATTTTAGTTTTGACTTACAGAGCTATTCATGGTCAGACCCCAAAATATGTTTGAGACCTATTGACCCCATACACCACTGGTCATTTGCTGCTGTCTCCGGGCCACAAAAGTATGTTTTAGTTGACTGGCTCCTAATTGTATCCCATTTCTTCTTCACACGATTTTTATTTGAGGTAAGCCAGTAGCAACAAGGCAGGAAAAAAAAGGTAATTGCCTATGGGCCTGAGCTGCTTAGGGCCCCCAGTCATTTACTGTTTATGAAATAAACGCAGTAACAAACCGTGTAAGTTCAGCGTGGTGGCCCTTTAAGACCACCCCCCACCAGCGTGCACCGCCTCAGCTAGCCAGCCAGCAGACAGGATGGGATGGTGAAAGGTTGTTTTCAAATGTAAACACTACAATCCATTAGGGGCTGCATGACAATTTTTTTAAAAGTCGGCCATCAAGTAATGAAAATAGTCGCCGTCATACACCTGAAGCGGCTAAAACCGACGATGGGTGACCAAGCGATTTTTTTTAAATTGCAAGAGGGTAAAGGTCACAATTTGGTCAAATATCTGTTTTACAGCGGGCGCCAGATACCAACGCTCTGGCACAGCGTGTCGCCTCCCGACACACAGGAGCTTGTCACCTGCTGTCTTTGCCAAGGACTGTATCTTGTCAGTCATTAACACGGGACGGCGACTAGTCTATGGAAGACATAAAAAGTCACTACAGAGCAGTGAAGTCGACTAGTTGATACAACCCCTACCATACATGAAGCATTATGCGATATGTAAACAGTTTTGCACTAAGCCAAAGGTACTTGTTTCTTAAAAATTTTATGCAATCAAAACCAGTGTCCATGCTATGGCTCTTTTGTGGGGTGGGGAGAATTCAATTTCAATGTTAATTTTGACAGTGGGGGGGGGGGGGGGGGGCAAAGCCCATCTTTCCTTGGGCCCCCAAATGCCTAGAATCGGCCCTGATTTGATACAGTCTGTTTCATTGGATAAGGACATATGGGAGGATGACTCATTAGGGTAATAACGCTCAGATGTGTCAGGTGCCACAGACGTCTTATTCTGCTCATCTTTAGTTAACATAGATACTTCTGAAAAACTAGGAATTTCTTCTTTTTTTTCTGAATTGTTGAAAATGCATCAAACCCCTTTTATTATTTTCTTCTGCAGCTTATTGCATGAAGCACAGAGAAAGATAAATTTGCACTTGTGGACCTAAAATCACTGAACAAAAACAAAAGAAACAGATGAAATCCATGTTTTCTGATGACAGCGTTTACTTTTATTAACGTGTGGACTCAGAACACATGTAATACAAGTCAAAGTTACATACATTAATGTCTCTACTAGAATCTTTTTTCCATTTACATTTTTAAGATGACTGTGAAATAAATAACATGTTGAGATTAAAAATGGCAGAAATCTGACACTACATTAAAACTGATGATCAGTATTAGAATACATACCTGTGTAATATTAATACCAGGAACTGAGAGGTTAAATGCTAATGTGGCCATTGTCACAAATAAAATAATTAGTTATTCGTTCACCATTTCAAATCAATATCCTCACTAAACACAGCCCTGTTAGGGTACCCAGGGGATGGTTTTGGTTCATGGTTCCTTGTGTGAGGAGATCTCGAAAAAAAGAAAACAAGAAAAGTCAACTGATAAATAAAACTCAATTCAGTAAACACAAAAAAACAATCCTTCATTCACTGTTTAGCAGCTAATTTTATCATTTTATCATTTTATTTAGTTAGCAACTAAAAATACATTAAAAAACATTTGACATTAATTATTTGTCATGTAAATTGAATTTAAGTGGTCTATTATTATTATTAAATACTAATAAGAGAATCCATTCTAAACTTAAAAATAAACACATTTTTTAATCTAGATTACCTGTAAAAAGCAGCCCTGCTACCATTGGATGTGCAGTTCTGACGCTGTCCGTGTGGGGGCAGTGTAACAATCTGAGCAGACCCCTGAGTTGGAATAGAAGCAGGACTAAACCAACCCAAAGGAGACTCCATCTTCATCGGAAAGCAAAGCAGCTTCCTCTGCCTCATCCAGGGGAAAGACTCGGAGTTCCCAAGATGCTCGAGGCTGCAGAACACAAATGCAAAATGTGTTTCATGCATCATATACACATATGGCAGACACAATTTATATATATATATATATATTAGGGGTTGTATGAACTAGTCGACTAGTCGACTTCACGGCTCTGTAGTGACTTTTTATGCCTGTCATCGACTAGTCGCTGTCACGTGATAATGACTGACAAGATGCAGTCCTCCAGCAGGTGATGAGCCCCTGCGCGTCGGGAGGCGGAGGCGGCACGCTGTGCCAGAGCGTCGGTACTGACACCGGCGGTAAAACGAACGTTTAACCAAACTGTGACCTTTTCCCTCTTGCAATTTTACCTTCCCCTCACCCCCATCCTAATCTTAACCAGTTTGTGCATGCAAAGCTCTGATCGTTGACGCGCGCTCCAGACATCTGCGTCCTGAGCACCGCCAAATCAGGTGTCACCATCTCAAAAACAAATTAAACACGCGATCGTTCATGTCGGCTCATTTCCTTTCATGTTTTCTGTCTGTTATTTGTGCCTGATGCATTTCGCTGCTGCGGAGCGAGGCTCTTCACCCGTTTTGTTCTCCGGTGACGCACCCCCAAGATTTCACTATCTCTGCTCCGCTCCGCTCCGGCACGAACTCCGCAGCAAAAACGGTACCGTTGTAGTCGGCCGGCAGCAGCAGCACTCCGCTGTTTTTGCGGTCGGTAGATCTTTTAGAACTGCAGCTCAAAGGTAACTCTGAAGGTGAATACATATGAAGCTAGGTAGCAGTTTTTCTTTAGGATTGAGAGGAGATGCAGGAAGATAATAAACAGGCAGGACAGAAATATAGTCAAATAAAAACAAGTTAGTTTTTGTACCTGGTGGTTGCAAAAAACAGACACCATTGAAGGTAATCAGAAGTGAGGAACAGAGAATGAAATAATTATTTTAATGTTTAGAGCAGCAGGAACTCCGAGAGGCTGCAGGCGCATCAGTGAGTTTGCGGCTGATGCGCAGGGGGAGAGGGGAGAGGGCTGAAGTAGGATGCAGAAACTACCGTTGTTAAAAGAGATGTGTTAACGTAGAAAATGTGGGCGCAATTTTAATTGTCAAAAACTCCAGCGAACCTACCGAGTCTGACTGTTTGAGGCTGAGGACAGGTGTCTTTTATACAGATAATGAGTTCAAACAGGTGCCATTAATACAGGTAACGAGTGGAGGACAGAAAAGCTTCTTAAAGAAGACGTTACAGGTCTGTGAGAGCCAGAGATTTTCCTTGTTTGAAGTACCCAAATACTTATTTTCCACCCTGATTTACAAATAAATTCTTTAAAAATCCTGCCATGTGAATTCATGGATTTTTTTCACATTCTGTCTCTCACAGTTGAAGTGTACCTATGATGTAAATTACTGACCTCTGTCATCATTTTAAGTGGGAGAACTTGCACAATCGGTGGCTGACTAAATACTTTTTTGCCCCACTGTATATATATATATATATATATATATATATATATATATATATGTGTTTTTTTCTAATAAATATTAATAATGTATGAGCCTCCTTATAATACAGATAAAATAACTCTCTTTGTTGAGTTCATCCTTGGATGGTCGTATCACTACTGCAAAGCTAATGAGCGTGTACTTCAACTATGGTACATGGGAAGAGCAGAATGGTGAAGTAGAGCGTTTCTGAGCCGATGCAAAAGCTGATTAGGAAAGTCTGGTCTAGTAATGACTCATTCCCTCTCCAATCAAAGCACAAAGTCAGAGAGTCCTACAATCAGAGCAGCTTGTGAGGAATCAAGTTGAGACAAGTACCTGTGAAGTCTCAGATTCTAGCTCAGCTTTAGAGCTCACAAAAGCTCAGTTCTCAGCTCATTTTGCAGCTTTGCTTACTGTTGAAGGACAAAAAATTCTACTCATCTTTTACTATGTTACGGCTACCAGCCTGGCCATTGTGATGCAGGAGCCAGGATCACCCAGCCCTGGTGATCAGCCTGACACCGCCCCTCCCCCTCCTCTCTTCCAGGCTGCTGAGGAGCACAGCTGAGCTGAGTCCTGCTGATGACCCACACCTGGGATAAAAAGGCTGTGCCTTCAGCAGCCTGGGAGGCAGCCGTGCAGGGGTTCTGCTGTCCTCCAGGCCTCATTTTGTTTTCAACCCCTTCGTTCGAGTTGAAGAGTTTTAACTTTTATAGTTTTAACTCTGAGTTATCCATCGTTTTAAAGGGTAACTCTGTGATACAATTTAATTGACTGGTTTTAAAACACCATCTGTTCTAGTAAAACTTTTAACATTAGTTTTAACCAGGTGATTCTGAACTTTTATCAACTTTGTGGATTTTGAGACACCTTCTGGTTGGTAACTGCTCTTTTAACGTTAACCTTTTTGAGTATATTTTTGTTTTGCATAATGCTCGCCATCTGTTTGCACTTGTTTTTAGAACCTTTTATAACAATTAAACCCATTTTAACTCCACTGTCGCATTTCTTATGTTACCCCCTCCTTCACATTTTAACACCTCCTGTCGGGGACGTAACATACTAACTGAATTATTTCTTAAATAAAATTCAGATGATTGATAATTGTATGTCTCAATGAATAAAACACCGCTACACATGACTCACTTTACATTGCTCCAGGCCACGTGGATTACTACCTTATTCTCAAATTGCCTTGGCGGCTGGGAGTTTCACCTGCGGTGCTTTTGATCTTACCAGCCTCTCCTCCCATGGCTGCTCATCAGAGTCCAACTGAGCACTACTCCACTCCACAGAGCTCTCCTCTCCTGATGTGCATATCCCACCCCCGCTGCCTGATTGCCTGCTGTCAGATCTGAAGAAGAAAGAGGAAAAGATCTATGAGAACATTTCTCAACACACCGCTTTCAAAGACACACACACACACACACATCTTTTTTGTAGTTGTCATAACATCACCACAGAGCTGAAAATCTAAATTCACCTGTCTGTGTGTGCCTACAGTACCTTGTGGGACTCCTGAAGCACTTTCTCCTTTTCCAGAATGACCAGCGCAGTTTCTCTTTCTGCTCTAAAGGCAAATGTCTCTGAGCAAATACGTGATCACCGAGCTCCTCAGTCTGTAGGCAACACAGAAGGTGCACAACAGACAAATCACAAATAAAAATAAATGGTTCTCTGATGAATAAATTACCTCTTTGTTCTCCTCCTTATCTGCCTCGGTCAGACACCGGGGGCTAACTACCCGCCAACTGAAAGGACAATCATTCTTTATTAATAAAGATGATCAATTATGAGGTGAGCCATCATTAAAAGATTTTTGTTACTGCAAATGACTTTCTGCAGCGTTTATGTTTCATATCATACCTGGGCGTCTGGATGTTGTTGTACTGCAGCTTCTCCACTTTAAAAAGCGACACAGGAAGGAGAATGTCGCTTATGTTGTACGCACCATCTCTTTGCTGTTTGCAAATAAAAGCATGAAAAACATCAGTAGAGCAATGGAAAGATTTAAAGGGTTTAATCGTTCAACTTTAAAGGTGCACAAAGTGAGCATGACATCCTGTGGTCAGACTTGGGTACTGCAGTTCATGTAGGGATGTCCCATTAAAACTTTTTCACTTCTGATACAATACCGATATTGCAGCCGTCAGTACTGGCCAATACCGATATCAATCTGATACGATATCAGCACAAATCCCACATACTTTTACCTATACTGTAGTGTGGAATGTATGAAAGGCTTGATCAAGTGATATAACTCAATCAGAGAACAAGATCCCATAACAGTAAGTATGAAAAAAAAAGGATTTTTTTAACCATTGGTTGCAAAAATGTGAACCTTAATGTACTGCTTATATCGGAGATTTTTGATGCAGTCTGATGTAATCCGATACAGTATTTTTGGGACGATATCGAATTACTTTCGATATCAATATCGGAAAGGGACATCCCTAAGTCCATGTTTTAAAACAAAAGAGTCCACTCTCAGCCCTTCCTCCCTCTTGTTCGTGAGTTTCAGGGCTGTTGCCAGTTACGGATCAGCGCCAGAAGATTCTAGATGAGTGAAGACCAGTTATACACAGTACTTTGATACGTAGATAAATACATTTCACTTTAACATCAAGTTGTCTGTGACTGAAAGCGTTAGCTTTAGATTTTTTTGGAGTTGACCATTTCTTTCTAATTTACTGTTAGCATTGTTAGCTCAATGTTAGCCTCTAGCCTTCATTACCCAATATTAGAGTAAATCAAAGAGGGTTTTGTTCTTTGTTTACAAGAATAACTCCCAGGCTGCATTTTTACTGGCTTCCACTCTGACCACAACTCCACTCTTTGCCAGCTGGTGTCGAATTACAAATGCTGACACAGTGCATTGAAGACTTGGCAACTTTGTGGGCTCATATATGATTGGCTCTGGAGACAGGAAGTATGGAGGCGGAACAGATTATAAACAAAGACTACGGCCCAGTCTCAATACCCACACTGCAGCCTACAGTACTATATGAGAACTTGGTGAAAGTGCATGTAAGCCTTTCAGTGCATAGAAAATAACTGCGCATAACGGCACAAATGGGACAGCGAGCATTGCGTGACCAAGCTGCGCTACTGTGTCATGACTAAACATCTTCCTAAATGGGGATGCCAGTCACTGTTTGCGCTAATTTGCTGCTTGAAATTGTACTAAAACTGATTGATATTGAAACAAGTGATAAGATTGTTGGCATATCGTGCCCAAAAATACAACCTGGCACCATCATCAGTTAACAATATTTTTCAACAGAGAATTAATTGATTGTAATCATATATGTACACAATAACAAATATTCCAAGATTTTGACACTTAAACTTGAAATTAAGTCTTTTCGGAAAGGGCACTTGAGACATTTCTCTGCCTTCTCAAAATTCCCATGCAGCAAGGGACTGTGGACGTAGTTTTTGGGGGGACAGGGTGCCCCCCCACTTCTAAAGTCAAAACGACATCTAATTGTACCTTCACCAAAGTCCAGACTGATGCAGGCTTTGGCGAAGTGCAGATCAAGGCTGCAAAAGGGGCAGAGCCAAGGTCCACAATTGTAAACCAAAACAGTTTACACATATGCAAAACTGGACAAGAACTCGCAACTGAGGGGCACAAGTGTGAAAGTGCGAGTATTGGGACTGGGCCAACATCCCTTTGGAGAAAGGGTGAGCCCCCCCCAACCCCCGGCTGAGAAGGAAATCTGTTTCTGTTTCAACATAACCTTCCTCCCAACATGATTGAGACATTAGACTGTTTTGTGATTGTTTCCCTCTAAGCTTCTTACTAACTGCACCTTTAAGTTTAATGACAATGTTGCTCCAGATCATTTAGGTGTTTATGTCACAAACTCTATTTACTGTTGTGTGTTAAAATAAACCAGTGAGTTCTGGTTTCAAGGCTTCATGTAAAAAGTAAAAAAAAAAAAAACTGACTTAACATTTTACACACTGTCCTGTAGATGACAAGCATCAGTTATAGGAGCCTTGAGCTGACGGCGCTCCCGATAACTCAAACCGTTAAATGTAATCGAGTATCGTACCTGTGAAACCCGGCTGTATGAGACACGAACGTAGCTGTCCTCCAGTAGATTATCTGAGCTTTCATCAAGATCTAAGACCTGGTTCAGCTCATCTTGTTCACCTAGGTACACACACACACACACACACACACACACACACACACACTATATGGGTACAATTTGACTGAGGGATGAATCGATCCAGAACCTAGTGCACAAGTAGGCTGCGTTTACTCCACTCACCTTTAGTCAGCCTGCTGCACCACCCCCTCCCCCTCCTCCTCTTCCTCCTCCTCCTCTGTCTGGATCTGTTGCTACGGTTACAAGCAGACCCTAACACCTGGATTGGTGACAGACCCAGAACTTTTCTTTGATAATCCTGCGCACTTCTCTTGTATTTGTGGCCTAAATGACAGAGAAAGACACAAATTGGATCCATGTTTGATCAAATGGAGTTTCCTTTCTCTGTTGTTAAAACAAAAAATTAAAGTGGGTATGAAATCAAGGGTTTTACTACATTTACTATTCCACACCCACATACTCCATGTTAAATCTCCTTCATATCATGTATATTTATTTTCTACTTTACATTATAAACAACCTTGTCAGCAAAAAGCATCAATGTTTTAAAATGGTCTAGATGACACAAACTGCTATAAACGCTAAGGATAAAGGGCTGATTATTTCTGTCATGTCTGAGGGCTTTAAAGGTCTAGGCTGATCTTACTGTTGTGCTGTGATGAGATGTTTCTCGTATCTGCAGGAGTTAAGAGCAGATGGTTGATCACTAGAGGCCTCAGAAGCCACTCTTCTCTGTGCGTGACTCTCTGTACACGGTGGCACTTAAGAAAACCTAGAAAAAGAGCCTTTTTTAATCTGTTAAAAACTTAAACTCATAAAGAGTTGAAACTCTAGTCTGTATTATTATAGGTTAAACTGAAATATGCAGCAGTACATGATAAAATGTAGCTTTTAACCCAAAAGTTGTATTCAGACAGGAATCAAAATTCTGCACAGTCATTATAAAACAAGTGAACTTGTATCTAAAAGCTGTTTTTCGTTTCAAAATGTTCTTCATACAGAAAAGTGAATGGTTTAGCCCTGAAGCCTACCAGAAACAGGCTCTGAACGGTGTGTTCTGAAGTTGGATCTACAGCCACAATCAGAAAGGTTTACTGGATGGCAGGAACAAAACAAACAGGAAGGTGGTGAGAGAGGAGAGGACAGTGATGCTGCAGAATTTCTGGTTTCCTGTAGAACACAAAAGAGAAAAGAAAAGAATTGAACAAATTCTCAGAGCACATTAAAAAGAGATTTTAAGCCAATATTTTGCATCAGTGCTCTAAAAACCAAAGCTTTACGATCCTATTCTTGAAAAATCTACTTCTACCTAACCGATAACAGATGCATAGGTATTTCTTGGTGTCTAAATACTGCATGTCTACAAAGACAGTCTCTCTATATCATGCCCACCTGTGGACTTGTGGGGGTGATCGATTTGAAATGGAACAGTTTGTGCTTGTGGTAGGCGACCAGGGGTCGAGTGCGAGCACACATGAAGGATCGATCAGCTTTGAAGAGCCTTCTGGGTCTGGGTTTCTTCCTCTCAGAGCTCCCAAACTGATAAACATCACCTCCTCTCGGACCGCTGCAGGAACAAGATCAGATGAGGTCACCAAAGTTCCAGTGTTGAGATTCAAACAGTAAAAATTTAATTAAAACTTTGTCAAGATGCTGATCTTTTACATGTTTCTCACCAACAACAGCCACAAACAAATAACAACTACTTGACACCCACTTGTAAACAAATAAACAACAGGAGCACCTTTCATGTATCACGTAGCTTTTATCTTCACACACAGAAAGTTAAAAAGGCAGCTGGAATAAAACATCATATCATGACAACAGTTTTAGAACAGAAATGAGCATCATTTAAACACACTGGTATGTAGGAGGTTTTTAGAAAATCAGCTCATGATCGACATTTAGTCAACATCATTTCTCCAACAGAAGCAAAGAAAATGTGATTTAATCCAAAACTACAACCTTGTACATTTCTCCAGACAAGTTAGAAGCTTTAAAAGTAGGTTAAAAAGTCAATGATTAAATTATTTATCCTGGAAGACAGGATCAGCACATGAAATCCTGACTAAAGAACTTATTTTGTCTAGTCAGCCCACCTACACAACACCTGAGCTGCTGCTTTTCCTCCTGCTCAGAATGACCGTCTGTCGGGGTGAAAAGCATTTCCACTGATAGCTTAGACATGTCTGATGTTGATGACAACCTTCCACTTGGCTCTGGCTTCTCTTTATTTGTCATCCTCTGGGTGACGATGCAAGTCACAGTGAGAAAGTATAACTGACCAGTGGAAACCATGCAAAGTGTGTTTGTAGCAGATCATAAGATCACTCATTATTTCTATTTTTCTTTTTATATTTCTTCCCCGTGTCCTGTCTGGCTGTGAAGCAAACAGAATTGATGTCTGAATGCTGGTGACAAGCCTTACAGATTTACTCTCAGGTGGAGCATCAAAGCTTCTGCTTTTAATGTTACGCCTGATACTTAAAACTTTATTGTTATTGTTTTTTTGAATGCTTTTCAATTCCGACCAGACACGGAAACCGAGGTGAAAGAGAAAGGAAAAGACAAAAGGGGGGGGGGGGGGGGGTCCACAGTGATGAACAAGAGTTTGCTTCTAGACCTGCAAAAGGAGAGAGAAAAAAAAGAAAAAAGCAATACAACAGCAGCAAGCTATCACTGCATCAACCTGATGAGGAAATATAAAATCAGCATTGTTTTACTGAACAATCACGATAATAAATCACAGTGCATTAAGTGCCAACCACAGCCTTAAGACATGTGTTGTACATGCCCGAGTCCATACTTATGAGAGCACAATGTGAGCACCTGTGTGTGTACACGCGCTTGTGTATGTAAGGTTTCTCTATAGAGGCCACAGATCTGCCCCCAAAGATGTGTAGGAGATGGAAGTATCTCCAAGTCTCAGAGACCCAGGAGCTGCCCCAGAGTGCAGGGACCCCAGGGAGACTGTAACCAGAAAAGCCCCTGTCCCCCTCGAGAGGCGCAGAGGACTGCCCCGGGGGACCACAACCAGCAGCAGACAGAGTCCCGGGGGATATCAGCGGCAAGCCCACAGGCCCGCCTGCAGCCTCCCACCCCCAAGCCGGCCAAGCCCCGAATCCAGCAACCCGGGACCCAGGGGCGACCAGCCCCGCCAGGGACCCAGCAGACTCCAGGGACTGAGATCCCACCAGGCAGCCACCGGGATTAATCAGGCAGATGCCAAAATTCTTAAACCCCCTGACCCAGTGTTGGTACAAAATCTGCTCGGGTGCAAGATCGGCTCGGGGTCCGTCGGCTGCCGATGACGTCAAAGTAGTTGATTGGCTGAACATGAACCTTACGGAATTACGGAATCACGTTACGTTGTTATCACGTTACGTTGGTCCAGGCAAATCTTTCTGTTGGAAAGATGGACAACTTTTACACAGAAATCCATCATTACCTCTTTGAAAATACACTTTTAGCATAGAGCTGCATCATGTATATTAGGGCTGAACGATTAACTGCATGTGCAATTAAATTGCGATGTGACAAAAGGACAAAAGGAGATTTTCTAGTCGCAAAGGCTGCAATTTGGCAGCGAGTGGTTAGCGCAATGCTAATATACATGGAAAAACCCATTGGAATGCTAATGCTAATATCACAATAATATTACATTATTACAAATTATGAATTAGAAACGTGCCAAATGATTACATTTGGAGTCTAATAGAAAGTAAAACCACCATCAATCAAATAAGTACAAACAGGTATTTTAGTAAAGCCAGAAAACTTTTAACTCCAGAGTTTTGGCTAGCAGCTATGAGCGTAACTGAACTACGCATGGACAAGACGTCAAAAACTCTAAACACAAAATACTTCAATAAACGGGACACACTTCTTTCCTGCAAATACAATTTCACAGGTGTTGCTAATACCTATGATCCTTCAAGGGATGTGCTCAAAGAGGAGTTCAACATTATGAATAAAATATAGTGTTTTATTTTACAAATACCATTATAAACACAAACTTACGTCTTAAGAAACATTATTTTAATAACAAAACTGCTAAATTCTTTCCAACATTATAGATGTGTAGTGTATTTTGTCCGAGTGGGTTTGCCGTACTTTGACGTCATTGGCAGGTGAAGGACCCCGAGCCGATCTTGCACCCGAGCAGATCTTGTACAGACACCGGGAACTGCAAACACTCAGGCAGACCAAGGCACCACACTCCACACCAGGTGTAGCAGGAGGAGGGGAAGCAAAGATGTATAGCAGCAAAAGAAGTCTCAGGAGAGGGGAGGAGTCAAAGGCCCCACCTGACATATACAGTCATACACAAACACAGTCACACACTCCCTCCCTCATGCTCACACATACACATACAACCTAAGACTCACAAAAATGCACTCCAGACACCCACTCATGCTCCCCATACACACCCTATGCACTCTGGTCCCAGTACTGCTGCACAAGGGGTACAACCATAGCCGGTTCCCAGAGTTTGACCCATTCTGCTGGGATGCTGATGAGCAGGCTCTCCCTGCCCAACGCCAAGCAAAGCGACCCACCACCCAGACCCCAGCCAGATGGCCAGATCAGGGGGATCTGCCATTGAATGTGCTCACTCCCCAAGGCCCTAAGTCTGTGTTTGCGTGGAATGTCATTGGTGGAAGTGTTTAATGTGCAAATAAAATTGGGGGGCAGGTTGCCACAGGAATGCGGAAATGGGGTCCATACCCGCACCCCCTGACTCATCCACCCCCCAAGGTCCTATGTGCATGTTTGTGTGATGATGTGAGGGAGCAGGAGGAGAAAAATGTGTGGGGAAGGGGAGGAATGGCTGGTTGGCCTAATCCATCCAGGGAGCCAGCTCCCCCACTGGCCCCAATAGGCGCCTCCGCTGCCAAAATGCCACCCAGGGCATGGAGACATCAGCCCATCTCGCCAGGGCCCAAAGCAGCAGCATCACAGAGCTCCGCAGAGTCCGAGGGAACCAACGCAGCCCCACCCCAGCAGAATATCTACTCCCATCCCTGCATTTGCACAGCTTCCAGAATATTTAAGACATAGGACATTCAGGTAAGGTTGGGTCCTCCCCCTCCTGGACATCCCCCTCCCCCATGATGGGGCAGCAGAGGAGCCAAGGTTTACCCGAGGCCCCTGAGCCTGGGCCAGGCACTGCCGCATTTTCCCGCCTTCTTCCCGGCAGCAAACATGTCAGGACCCGACCCCCAAGGCCCCGCCCAGATCCCCACACGGGGCCGGCCACCCCCACCTCCACACCCTGAGCCCCCAGGCCCCCATCCAGACCTACTTAGGGGCAATGCAGCCGCTAGGCAGCAACCCATGACCACCGCCAAGAGCCCCAAGGGGCCCCACTCACAACCGCCAGTAGTCTGCCCCCCGAGGCAAACCAAGCACCTCCAGAGGGGGAAAGATCACTTATTGTTTCAACAAAACTGCAGTGGTCTTGAGTATGAATGAATGCCTTGTGAGTTAATCTCTGTGGGAAAAAAAGCTCTTGCGCTCCTGTTACAGCAACTAGAAGTCAGACGGAGGAGTGGGGGCAGAAAACAACAGGATTTGGAGTCTTATTCATTAGCATTCATGATAATCTGACATCTCACCTCTGATTGGCAAACAGGAACACGACTCTACCACTGACCGTTTCTGTTGCAACATTAATGTTTTATCTCCACAAATAACACAACTCTGGAGGAGTTCTGCCATGTGGTGAAGTTGCTAATGCTAACAATTAGCTTCTACTAGTCGAGACGTTCTCTGCTCTCTCCTGGATGCTAAATTAACAACAGACTTCCTCGTCGCGAGCCAAGATGGGTGAGTCCATGAATGCTAACTCTACAATGTGACGTGCAATTGTCACTGGCTTTTCTAAGCTGAGCGTTTCCCCAGCATTGAAAGCAAACACAGGAAGTACTACGGTAGTAGAATATTTTCACGTTCAGACTGAATAGAAAACTCAGAGAACTTAGTCTTTAACAGCAGGAAGTCATTTAACAAAATGAATGACCTGCATCCCACTCACCTGATAATGGTACCTCTCTCTTGTAACGTCTGGTCTTGATTATAAAAAGTTGAAAAGCTGAGAGGATGCTTCAGACTGCTAACAAACAGGTTCAGCTGGTCACTCTGCAGGGAAGACAAAAAGGCATTTAAGACCTGTTGGGTATTTTTAAATCCTAAAACTTAACCCTGAAATGAACCACAGACAGGAGAGGAAGTCAGAAGGTTTTACGCTGTGAGAGATAGGCCGGAAGCCTGTCCAAGGCCCCCATCTGATCAACTCTGGCGTGTTCTCTGCACCACAGATGGTTTTATTGAAACACAGGCATGCAGCGACAAAGGAGATCCATCACTGTCCACATTTACCAATAAACACTGTTACCTCTATCCAAGGCAGGACCTTCTAAAAAGGAAGTCTCAACTTACAGGGTGGCTGCTAAAGCCAATTTGCTGACTCTTAATTTATGACTGACATCCAGCAACTCGTAACCAAGGACACAAGTTGCCACATAGGCTACAACAACCATGCTCATCAGCCCACATTCCAGAGCTGTGAGGAAAGGAGAAAGAACCCTGTAGCTTTCTTATTAACATATGATTACTTCTGATTACTCAAAAAGGAACATTAAAGACAGTAATACATAAAAAAAAACTAACAAGACCGATCAAGGGAAATACAAAAAAGCTACTTTTCTGCTTAATGCAAACACACAAACCCTGATTTTTTTATTTGAGCACATATAAAGATCTGTTTAACCCTCCCACTGTCCTAATGGGTGTGACCCCGTGAAGAAAGTTGACCATTGAGCAGGATTGATGGTTTATCCCTTGAGGTCCATGTTGTAGGGGAGAGGTGGTGCTCACTCCTCACCCCTGCCACATGAACCCAAGGGATAAACCATCAATCCTGCTCAATAGTCAACTTTCTTCATCGGGTCACACCCATTAGGACAGTGGGAGGGTTAATATAATAAATTTATTTAGAGATACACAGCATCTTACTGTCCATTTTTCTTTTCAAAATACATTTTTAGGATGCATGAATTTCCCAAAAGAGAGCACATATTTGCATCTACTCCATTTAAAAAGTACTCGAAATTAATGGAAAGTTCTGAGCAATTATCTGTGCCTCAACAGCTGGGACCATTATTACAAGCTTTCCCTCTGAAATGATTATAACCACCTGACATCATCAAGCAGCAGCAATTTATTCATTCCACCTGCAGCTTCTTATTTAACATAACAGCACACAGGTCTAACAGAAAGCAATCAGTAATTCATTAGTCAAATCCTCTCAACCTGAAACTAGAAACAGTGTTCGAGGGGAGAAACCACCTGCACTTCTACACACACCTCAGAAGGAAAAGAACAATCTCCTAATAAACTGTGCAAAATTGATTTATTTCTAATCATTTACTAATCCTAGAATAATCTGGGTACAAGTCACATTATCGTACCTGACTCTTTATGTTATGCAGAAGGCGTGTAGGGCTGGAGGGTTCAGAATCAGTCATTTCTCCCTTGGGGATCTGCTGAATGTGCCTGTCAGTCAGTGGTTGGGAGTCTGCAAGCACCACTCTACCCTTAGTAACCCATAGAAACATAGAAAGATAGAGTTAAAAAAGATATTAGCAGGTTAGAACATGACTGGTCAATAATAACACTAATGGCCAATAAAAGCACCCGTAAGTTATGTTTTGTATATTCCTGACTAAGGCCAAGTGCACACATAGTCAGGTTTTTGTAAAACAGAAATTCCTCCCTCACCAATCTAGGAAAAAAACTTGGGTCCACACCACCTCATTTTTAGTTGCATTGTGAAGCACTTTCATATGCATGCCATGCTTGTAGGTGGCAGTATTTCTCCAAATGGTTGGTTCCTTGGCTAAGAAACATTGCTTTGACATGGAATAGGGAGCCTAAGTAGAAGACCATCTACTTCCGCACCATGGGTCCCCGGAAGAACGAAAAAATGAATGCAAATGTAAAAGTACGTGGCTGGCATGGTCGAAACACCAATCATTACTTTTCATTGAAATTGCAGTACAACACATGTGTGATCCAGGGCGTAAGGCAATGCGGATTAGAAAATAGCTTTTTTAGCCCCGTTGACTTGCATTCATTTTTTCGTTCTTCTGGGGACCCATAGCCTAGTGAACTAGACCAAATTCTTGCTTTGCAAAGAATGGTCTAGGCATGCTCCATTGGAACCTCAGCAGCTCCTACCAGGACTCTGGCTAGCCAATCACAGCTCTCTAGAGGGGTTTCAAACACATAAAGAGCTGTGATTGGTCCATAATGGTGGGCCAATCATAGTGCTCTATCTGCTTAGTGAACAAATCACAGAGCTTTATCCGCTTTGTGGGCCAATCAGGGCACTCTATATGCCTGGTGGGTGGGATGATGCAACAGAGTGAAACAAGAGTGTGTCACATTCATTGTCCAGTGGAATGCGGAGATCATTTGAAAGACAACGGTAGAACCCGCCCCACAACCGAGAGCTGTCAATGGAGCGTGGCCAGACTAAATAATACATTTATTTAGTCTGGCTTGCCAGGCTAGGGCACCCATGGTGCGGAAGTAGACTTACGCTCATCTACTTCCGGACCATGGGTCCCTGGAAAAACGAAAAAGTGAATGCAAGTAAATGGGACTAAAAATGCTATTTTCTAATTCCGCTTGTTATGTACCATGTATTAGACATATGATGTCCGTGAATTTTAAAGAAACATTTTGATACCAAGAACGCACTTATTTACGAATGGGGGAAAATACGAATTTAGATTTTGTGTTAAAATAAGTCCAGGACTACAAAAGCGTCGTCGTCGTCTTCCTCCGCTTATCCGGGTCCGGGTCATGGGGGCAGCATCCCAACTAGGGAGCTCCAGACCGTCCTCTCCCCAGCCTTCTCCACCAGCTCCACCGGCAGGACCCCAAGGCGTTCCAGGACCAAATTGGAGATGTAACCTCTCCAACGTGTCCTGGGTCGACCCGGGAGCCTCCTGCCGGCAGGACATGCCCGAAACACCACCCCGGGGAGGCGTCCAGGAGGCATCCTGACCAGATGCCTAAACCACCTCAACTGGCTTCTTTCGATCCGGAGGAGCAGCGGTTCTACTCCGAGTCCCTCCCGAATGTCCAAGCTCCTCACCCTATCTCTAAGGCTGAGCCCGGCCACCCTACGGAGGAAACTCATTTCGGCCGCTTGTATCCGCGATCTCATTCTTTCAGTCATTACCTAAAGCTCATGACCATAGTTGAGTATTGGGATGTAGATCGACCGGTAAATCGAGAGCCTGGCTTTCTGGCTCAGCTCCCTCTTCACCACGACAGATCGGCTCAGCGTCCGCATCACTGCAGATGCTGAACCAATTCGCCTGTCGATCTCCCGATCCCTCCTACCCTCACTCGTGAACAAGACCCAGAGATACTTAAACTCCTCCACTTGAGGTAGGACCTCTCCCCCGACCCAAAGTTGGAAAGCCACCCTTTTCCGGTCGAGAACCATGGTCTCAGATTTGGAGGTGCTGATCCTCATCTAGGGCTGGGCGATATGACGATTTTAGACCGTTTTACGATCTACACATCTGACGGTCTGTCATTTTTGAGAGACCGTTTTATCACGATTCACAGCTCTGCTGTTGAATTTCTGCCTCTGAATGAAAAGGGAACTTACCTCAGGCGAATGACACGCCTTTGTTTGACCCTTAACCAATCAGAGTGAGTCATAGTAATATATTAGTGCCCCGCTTGTTTTCACCTGTGTGTGAACAAACATGGCTTCGCCGCGGCTGAGCGACACGTTCCGAAAAGGAACGCAGGGTTTCCTTAGCGCGCGGCGCTAACAACTTAGTGACGTGACATGTCTCGGAGAAAGCGTAAAAACACGTTGGACGCTTCTTCTGAAGCAGGAATATAACACCGCTTCTTAAGCAGAGCACGACGTCACCCCGGCTCGTTCACCCTCTGCCGAGCCGGTGTCGGTACCGGACTGAGCTCGGTCACTGGGTCGCTGGAGCTGCCCCGTGACTGCCTGATGGAAAACCAGCGGGTTTCATCAGACTCGTAGTTTCTTGTTTTTGCTGGGGACCCCTGTAATTTACCGCTCCCTCCTGCAGTCTTCCCCTATGATTCTGTAAACTCCGTGTATCAATAGAAACAATCTCTGCCTCTGCCAGCTGCAGTAAATGTAGTTTCCAAATAATAAGAGGTGCATTCATCTGTGTGTCTCCTTTGATCCGCATTAGTGATATTTTCAGCACCAGAACAGTGAAGCAAAGAAAGATTCCTGAGTTTGTTAGTAATTTTATTTATTAGGTGCATCTAACCTGTTCTATTTTTCTCTGAAATGAGATCAAATCAGTGCTTCTATGGGTTGTCTCCAATCTGCACTGGAAAATTTTACTTTATTTAGAGACTTGTTGCAGAAAATATTCAGAATGTGCAGTTTTTTGCTACCACAAGCGATCTCTGGTCCAGCCACACATCAGAGCCGTATTTGAGCTTAACTATCCACTACATGAGCAACTGGGAGCTACATAGTATTTTGAACAAGTTAATGTTTGCACAATACGTTTGCAATTGACGTGTTTGCACTTTAAATATGTTTACGATTTTTATTTATGTTAAGTTACTTGAAAAACGAGAAAAACTGATTTTTGTAATTGTTTCTCTCAGGGCTTTTATAATCTCTGGTGTGAGTTTAAAATATAAGTGTGTTAGCACTGTGCTGATTATCCCTAATATGAATAAATGTTTATTTATTCAATGTTTCTCTTCTTTAATACGCAATTGAAGTTATACTATTCATGGATAAAAAATCGTGATAAAATCGAAATCGTGATAAAATATTGGAAAAATCATGATATTCTATTTTTGCCATATCGCCCAGCCCTATCCTCATCCCAGCCGCTTCACACTCGGCCGCGAACCTACCCAGCAAGAGCTGAAGGTCAGAGCTGGATGAAGCTAGGAGGACCACATCATCCGCAAAATGCAGAGACAAGAGTCTCCTGCCACCAAACTCGACACACTCCACACCACGGCTGTGCCTAGAAATTCTGTCCATAAAGGTAATGAACAGAACCGGTGACAAAGGGCAGCCCTGGCGGAGTCCAACCCTCACCGTGAACAGGTCAGACTTACTACCGGCTATGCGGACCAAACTCACGCTCCTCTGGTAAAGGGACTGAATGGCCCTTAACAGAAAGCCACCCACCCCATACTCCTGGAGCGTCCCCCACAGGGTGCCCCTGGGGACACGGTCATAAGCCTTCTCTAAATCCACAAAACACATGTGGATTGGTTGGGCAAACTCCCATGCCCCCTCCATCACCCTTGCAAGGGTATAAAGCTGGTCCACAGTTCCACGGCCAGGATGAAAACCACATTGCTCCTCCTCAATCTGAGATTCAACTATCGATCGGACCCTCCTCTCCAGTACCTTGAAGTAGACCTTTCCAGGGAGGCTGAGGAGTGTGATCCCCCTATAGTTGGAACACACCCTCAGGTCACCCTTCTTAAAGATGAGGACCACCACCCCGGTCTGCCACTCCACAGGAACTGCCCCCAATGACCACGCAATGTTGCAGAGACGTGTCAACCATGACAGCCGTACAACATCCATAGCCTTGAGATACACAGGACGAACCCCATCCACCCCCGGGGCTCCGCCGCTGTGTAGTTGTTTGACTACCTCAGCAACTTCTACCCCCGAGATTGGACAGTCCATCCCCAGGTCTCCCGGCTCTGGTTCCTCCTCGGAATGCGCATAGGTGGGATTGAGGAGCTCCTCAAAGTATTCCTTCCACCATCCGACTATAGCCCCAGTTGACGTCAGCAGCTCCCCATCCCCACTGTAAACAGTGTGAGCGAGTTGCTGCCTTCCTCTCCTGAGGCACCGGACAGTTTGCCAGAGCCTCTTTGGAGCCGATCGATAGTCTTTCTCCATGGCCTCACCAAACTCCTCCCACACCCGAGATTTTGCCTCTTCAACTGCCACTGCTGCACCCCGCTTGGCTATCCAGTACCTGTCTGCTGCCTCCGGAGACCCACAGACCAGCCACGCCCTTTAGGCCTCCTTCTTCAGCCTGACGGCTCCCCGAACCTCTGGTGTCCACCAGCGGGTACGGGGGTTGCCACCACAACTGGCACCGGCCACCTTGCGACCACAGCTAGCAACATCTGCCTCAACAATCGCAGGGTGGAACAAGGCCCACTCGGAGTCAATGTCCCCCACTGCTCTCGAGACGCGGTCAAAGCTCTGCCGGAGGTGGGAGTTGAAGACCGTCTTAACAGGTTCCTCTGCCAGGCGTTCCCAGTAGACCCTCACTATGCATTTGGGTCTGCCAGGTCTACGCGGCATCTTCCCCTGACATCTGATCCAACTCACCACCAGGTGGTGATCAGTTGACAGCTCCGCTCCTCTCTTCACTCGGGTGTCCAAAACATACGGCCGCAGGTCAGATGATACGACTACAAAGTCTATCATCGACCTGCGACCTAGGCTGCCCTGGTACCAAGTGTACCGATGGGCATCCTAATGTTCGAACATGGTGTTTGTTATGGTCAAACTGCGGCTTGCACAGAAGTCCAATAACGAAACACCACTTGAGTTCAGATCAGGCGGGCTGTTCCTCACAATCACACCCCTCCAGGTCAAGCTGTCATTGCCCACGTGAGCATTGAAGTCCCCCAGCAGGACAATGGAGTCCCCTGATGGAGCACTATCTAGCACTCGTCCCAGGGACTCCAAAAAGGGTGGGTACTCTGAACTGATATTTGGCCCATAAGCACAAACAACAGTCAGGACCCGTTCCCCAACCCAAAGGCGCAGGGAAGCTACCCTCTCGTCCCCCAGGGTAAACCCCAACACACAGGCAGAGAGTCTTGGGGCTAACAAAAAGCCAACCCCAGCCCTCCGCCTCTCACCCGGAGCAACTCCAGCAAAGAAGAGTGTCCAACCCCTCTCAAGGACTTGGGTTCCAGAGCCAATGCTGTGTCGAGGTGAGTCCGACTATATCTAGCCGGTACCGCTCAACCTCTGCCACAAGCTCCTGCTCCTTCCCCGTCAGCGAGGTGACATTCCATGTCCCAAAAAACAGTTTTCTTGTCCGGTGATCGGACCGCCAAGGCTCCCGCCTTGGTCTGCCACCCGATTCACATTGCACCGGACCCTTCATGTTCCTCCTGCGGGTGGTGGGTCCTCAGTTGGATGAGTCCATGTATCCGGTTCGGGCTGGGGCCGGCTGGGCCCCATGGGCGAAAGCCTGGCAACCAGGCGCTCGCTCACGGGCCCCAAACCCAGGCCTGGCTCCAGGGTGGGACCCCAGTAACCCTCCGGGCCGGGTACTCCGACTCTTTGACTTTACCTCCATGAAAGATCCTGTGAACCGTTCTTTGTCTCACCCTTCACCTAAGACTACAAATGCGCTTCACGAAATTGACGTCATCGAAGCAGACGCAGAAAAACTGAGGGAAAATGGCTGCAAGTTCAGCTAACTTCAAATCCTTCCTTCAGGAGGTAAGAACCACCATAAACCTGGCCATGTGGTAAGTTGCAGCTACACTAGGGGAGAGGAGATTACTGTATTTTCCGGACTATAAGTAACACTTTTTTTCATAATCTGGCTGGTCCTGCGACTTATACTCCCGAGTGTCTTATATACCAAATTATGTATACTGCGCTGCTGTGGACCGGCTCCGGACCAGGAATAAGCTCCTCTGCCCCGCCATCACCCGATGGAGCCTGTGGCGAGCTACTGCGGGCCGGGCGGCTACAACCCAGGAATGAGCTCCCCTGTCCCGCTGGGAGGGTTTCAAACACCGCCATCACCTGCTGCAGCCTGTGGCGGGGTGCTGTGGGCCAGCTCCGGCCCAGGAATTAGCTCTCCCCGCCCGCTGGGAGGGTTTGAAACACCGCCATCCTCTGCTGGAAACCGTGGTGCACTGCTGCGCCCTGGTTGTTTATTCTGTTTTTGTTACCAGTACTTGTCTTGCAAAGTGAAATGCTTGGTCTCAGATTTTGTAAGAAAAATTATAAAATTTCCCCCCAAAATGCGACTTATAGTCCAGTGTGACTTAAATATGTTTTTTTCTTCTTCATTATACATTTTATGGCTGGTGCGACTTATATTCCGGAGCGACTTATACTCCATAAAATACGGTATGTGATAACATGCCGATGCTAATAGCTAACTTTTACAAGCTGATAAATCTCAAAGTATGTGACAGGCGTGGTCGTAACACACATCATAACTTTTCATTTGAATATAAGTACAACATATGTGCGATCCAGGACGTAAGAAAAAAGCGAGTTAGAAAATAGCTCTTTTAGCCTTGTTGACTTGCATTAATTTTTTCGTTCTTTCAGGGACCCATGAGCCGACCAGAAAGAGAGGAAACTTAGGCTCCCTGTAACTAGATGTCGGCAATTAACCTTACTTAATGTCCTGGAGAGATGGTGGCACAGGAGTTAAGGGCCCACCCTGTAATCTGAGGGTTGCAGGTTCAACTCCGCACAGTCTATCATCGTCACCGTGTCCTTGGGCAAGACACTTTACCTCACCTACTGGTGGTGGCTGGAGGGACCGGTGGCATCTGCACAGCACTCTAACTTTAGTGCAGTCCAGAGCAGCTGTGTGACTGAGTGAATGACTGGTGTTGTAAAGTGCCTTGCGGGTTTGTAGGACTCTGGGAGGCACTATATTAATACAGGTGATTTAATGTTATCCTTTGCCTATGGTGTTCTACATAGAGCAGCATATGAGCTTCAAAAACGAGTGAGTGTAAACACGTGTAATGTACCAAAAGGGGTCAATTTTCACCTATATATTGATCAACATAATAACCTTTCATCTGGGTGAGAATGTTTGTCTGGATGTTTTGTCTTCTGTATGTAAACAAGCACTGAGCAGAACCTTCTGGATTTGGAAGGCCAAATAGAAAGTGGATTTATTTCTGTAGATGAAAGGTTATTATAATAGTCAATGTACTGTATATGTGAAAATTGACCCTTTGCGTGATTCCAGAGCATTTTTATAGTGGGCGGTGATGTGAGACCCAAAACCGCAGTTTTGTACGTCCACAAGCAAATGCTGACAAGAAGAATTCGCAAGTCTCTACTTTTGTCTGGTTTTTGAAAGATAAATTTTTGATGTTGTGTATCTTCTTCACTTTCATGTTGATGACTGGCGAAACCGAAGAAAACCATCTTCATTTACATCTGACTTGTTGTGTACAGGGTCTAAGAATGGTAAGTGCAGATTTTATTTCTACTCGTTCCATTTAAGACAAACAGGGTTTGAAGGGAGACCGTTTGGAAAAACAGCCATAATACCTTGGTAGCGCATATATTCTTGTGAAGCTCTGTCATTTGCTGTATTCTCCCATCAAGTTCAGACGAACGAATCTGCAGCCAGCTGCATCTGCTGCCCAGCTCGGCTCGTTCTTCCAGCCACTTCCTCTCAAAGTTTCTGCTACACAAACTGACAGGTGACAGAGAAATATGGTTGTTAGAGATGAGCGAGTACACCACTATCTGTATCTGTTCAACCAACTAAATTATCTGTATCTGTATCTGTACTCAGAATGGGCGTGGTTTAACCTGGAAGTGGGCGTGGTTTACATCAATATATTATTTTAAGTCTGAAATTGATATGGCTCCTCCTTGAACCGTCACCTTATCGTGGTGGAGGAGTTTGAGTGCCCTAATGATCCTAGGAGCTATGTTGCCTGGGGCACTTAGTGCCCCTGGTAGGGTCTCCCATGGCAAATTGGTCTTAGGTGAAGGGTGAGACAAAGAACGGTTCGAAGGATCTTTCATGGCGGTGAAAACGAAGAGTCGGAGTACCCGGCCCGGAGGGTTACCGGGGTCCCACCCTGGAGCCAGGCCTGGGGTTGGGGCCCGTGAGCGAGCGCCTGGTGGCCGGGCTTTCGCCCATGGGGCCCGGCCGGGCCCAGCCCGAACCGGATACATGGGCTCGTCCAACTGTGGACCCACCACCCGCAGGAGGAACATGAAGGGTCCGGTGCAATGTGAATCGGGTGGCAGACCAAGGCGGGAGCCTTGGCGGTCCAATCCCCGGACAAGGAAACTAGTTTTTGGGACATGGAACGTCACCTCGCTGGCGGGGAAGGAGCCGGAGCTTGTGGCAGAGGTTGAGCGGTACCGGCTAGATATAGTCGGACTCACCTCGACACATTGCATTGGCTCTGGAACCCGAGACCTGGAGAGGGGTTGGACACTCTACTTTGCTGGAGTTGCTCCGGGTGAGAGGCGGAGGGCTGGGGTTGGCTTTTTGTTAGCCCCGAGACTCTCTGCCTGTGTGTTGGGGTTTACCCCGGGGGACAAGAGGGTAGCTTCCTTGCGCCTTCGGGTCGGGGAACGGGTCCTGACTGTTGTTTGTGCGTATGGGCCAAATATCAGTTCAGAGTACCCACCCTTTTTGGAGTCCCTGGGACGAGTGCTAGATAGTGCTCCATCAGGGGACTCCATTGTCCTGCTGGGGGACTTCAATGCTCACGTGGGCAATGACAGCTTGACCTGGAGGGGTGTGATTGGGAGGAACGGCCCACCTGATCAGAACTCGAGCGGTGTTTTGTTATTGGACTTCTGTGCAAGCCGCAGTTTGGCCATAACGAACACCATGTTCGAACATAAGGATGCCCACCGGTACACTTGGTACCAGGGCAGCCTAGGTCACAGGTCGATGATAGATTTTGTAGTCGTATCATCTGACCTGCGACCGTATGTTTTGGACACCCGAGTGAAGAGAGGGGCGGAGCTGTCAACTGATCACCACCTGGTGGTGAGTTGGATCAGATGGCAAGGGAACATGCCGCGTAGACCTGGCAGACCCAAACGCATAGTGAGGGTCTGCTGGGAACACCTGGCAGAAGAACCTGTCAAGACGGTCTTCAACTCCCACCTCCGGCAGAGCTTTGACCACGTCCCGAGAGCAGTGGGGGACATTGAGTCCGAGTGGGCCTTGTTCCACTCTGCGATTGTCGAGGCGGCTGTTGCTAGCTGTGGTCGTAAGGTGGCCGGTGCCAGTCGTGGTGGCAACCCCCGTACCCGCTGGTGGACACCAGAGGTTCGGGGAGCCGTCAGGCTGAAGAAGGAGGCCTACAGGGCGTGGCTGGTCTGTGGGTCTCCGGAGGCAGCAGACAGGTACCGGATAGCCAAGCGGGGTGCAGCAGTGGCAGTTGCCGAGGCAAAATCTCGGGCGTGGGAGGAGTTTGGTGAGGCCATGGAGAAAGACTATCGATCGGCTCCAAAGAGGTTCTGGCAAACTGTCCGGCGCCTCAGGAGAGGAAGGCAGCAACTCGCTCACACTGTTTACAGTGGGGATGGGGAGCTGCTGACGTCAACTGAGGCTATAGTCGGACGGTGGAAGGAATACTTTGAGGAGCTCCTCAATCCCACCAATGCGCATTCCGAGGAGGAACCAGAGCTGGGAGGCCTGGGGATGGACTGTCCGATCTCGGGGGCAGAAGTTGCTGAGGTAGTCAAACAACTACACAGCGGCGGAGCCCCGGGGGCGGATGAGGTTCGTCCTGGGTATCTCAAGGCTATGGATGTTGTAGGGCTGTCATGGTTGACACGTCTCTACAACATTGCGTGGTCATCGGGGGCAGTTCCTAGGGAGTGGCAGACCGGGGTGGTGGTCCCCATCTTTAAGAAGGGTGACCTGAGGGTGTGTTCCAACTATAGGGGGATCACACTCCTCAGCCTCCCTGGAAAGGTCTACTCCAAGGTACTGGAGAGGAGGGTCCGATCGATAGTTGAATCTCAGATAGAGGAGGAGCAATGTGGTTTTCGTCCTGGCCGTGGAACTGTGGACCAGCTCTATACCCTTGCAAGGGTGATGGAGGGGGCATGGGAGTTTGCCCAACCAATCCACATGTGCTTTGTGGATTTGGAGAAGGCTTATGACCGTGTCCCCAGGGGCACCCTGTGGGGGACGCTCCAGGAGTATGGGGTGGGTGGCTTTCTGTTAAGGGCCATTCAGTCCCTTTACCAGAGGAGCGTGAGTTTGGTCCGCATAGCCGGTAGTAAGTCGGACCTGTTCCCAGTGAGGGTTGGACTCCGCCAGGGCTGCCCTTTGTCACCGGTTCTGTTCATCACATTTATGGACAGAATTTCTAGACGCAGCCGTGGTGTGGAGTGTGTCGAGTTTGGTGGCAGGAGAATCTCGTCTCTGCTTTTTGCGGATGATGTGGTCCTCCTAGCTTCATCCAGCTCTGACCTTCAGCTCTTGCTGGGTAGGTTCGCGGCCGAAGGTGAAGTGGCTGGGATGAGGATCAGCACCTCCAAATCTGAGACCATGGTTCTCGACCGGAAAAGGGTGGCTTGCCACCTCCGGGTCGGGGGAGAGGTCCTACCTCAAGTGGAGGAGTTTAAGTATCTCGGGGTCTTGTTCACGAGTGAGGGTAGGAGGGATCGGGAGATCGACAGGCGGATTGGTTCGGCGTCTGCAGTGATGCGGACGCTGAGCCGATCTGTCGTGGGGAAGAGGGAGCTGAGCCAGAAAGCCAGGCTCTCGATTTACCGGTCGATCTACGTCCCAATCCTCACCTATGGTCATGAGCTTTGGGTAATGACCGAAAGAACGAGATCGCGGATACAAGCGGCCGAAATGAGTTTCCTCCGTAGGGTGGCCGGGCTCAGCCTTAGAGATAGGGTGAGGAGCTCGGACATTCGGGAGGGACTCGGAGTAGAACCGCTGCTCCTCCGGATCGAAAGGAGCCAGTTGAGGTGGTTTGGGCATCTGGTCAGGATGCCTCCTGGACGCCTCCCTGGGGAGGTGTTTCGGGCATGTCCTGCCGGCAGAAGGCCCCCGGGTCGACCCAGGACACGTTGGAGAAGTTACATCTCCAATCTGGTCCGGGAACGCCTTGGGGTCCTGCCGGAGGAGCTGGTGGACAAGGCCGGGGAGAGGACGGCCTGGAGCTCCCTAGTTGGGATGCTGCCCCCGCGACCCGGACCCGGATAAGCGGAGGAAGACGAGAGACGAGAAATTGATATGGAATGAACGGAAGTTGATATGTGTATTGTTTATTTGAAAACTATTTACAGAGCAGCCTCAGAATTGAGATTAAATATTTTTGATCAAAATAGTAAAGGAACTATTACAGAACAAGTTTTTCAATAAAATCAGAACATTAATATTTAAGTGCATGGATTAATACATCTGAACTCATGCAGTAGGAACTAGGAAATACGAAATGCTAGAACCAGACACAACTTTATGTATATTTTTTCATTTTAATTTGATTACACTGATTTTTTTCTTAATGTTCTTGGCATTTTGCCCCACACAAAGTTAAACAAAACAATGTTGATTGAGGTGTGTGTGCGAGAGAAATAGAGAGGGAGAGAGGGAGAGAGGAAGAGAGAGGGAGTTAAAAAATTTAAAAAAAAAAACGACCGGAGTGGAGGTAGTGAGTTAATGCAGCACGTCAGCTCTGTCTTGTCAAATGCACCATGTAAGTTACAAAAAAAGTAACTTTAAATATTCAACCGAAAAAGAGGCGAGCTGAAGAAAACCTAGGGAAAACTGAAGAAACGTGAGCAACAGTGAAGCAAGCGCAGCGAGATCCGTTACTGTCTGTGTGTGTGCGTGGATGAGCCGGACGGACTGCGCTCCCAGCCGGCTAGAGTTTTGTGTGTAGGGAGGGGCGGGCGCTCTATGAGACTGGCCAATCACAGAGCGTGAAGACAGTCAGTTACCCAATGAGGATTTTCCTTCAGCACGATTACAGATATTTACTCGTTTCATGCTCGTTTTCGTCAAAAATGCTTTATCCGTACCGGATACTCGTTTACCGGATACTCGTTTGAAATGAGTATCCGGCTCATCCCTAATGGTTGTACTCATAAAGCTCCACAAACTTAGATATTTTTCAATCTGTCAAAAAAATAAAGGGAGTTCTCTTATTTTTCTGCTGCATGTATCTGCGTGATACTTCATGTTCCGTTAGTAACAGTTACTATGGCAGTTCTCTTGGACCTTGGCTGGGACCGGCAGGAACTTCCCCACTTCAAGCACCCTTAAAGTTTATTCTTCACAAGCAGCAACACACAACACCGTCTGATATTATAAGACAGCGATTGCTTTGATCCCGACTCCTATTAAACCATATACCTCAGAATCCATTTGCTCACCAGAATGGATTTACATTAACTTTGTGTTAAACAGTAAAAAGCTTAAAAAAAAAACAGATCCAGCTTGTCAAGCATGTTAGATAGAGTACGCTGATATGTGTTTGTAAAGCCTGATTCATGCTTCTCCGTCTGCGTCAGTGCGGAGACACACAACATTCTTGCGGGCCTGCTGGAGAGCTCCGCAAGGATGGACAGAGTTGAGCTCTCTTTTCTAAACATCCATCAGTCAAGATGGACAACACAAGCTTGTGATTGGTCAGGACGCTGCTGTTGTCTACACCGCCGCCATTGCGCCCTCAAAAACATAAAGAGAGCCGAGGATAACTAGCGGCAGACACGGAGAAACTTGAAGAATACCTCGCAAAAAAACTCTAAAAACATGAACGTTTAATTCCCCCGTGACTGGAGGAGTGAAAAGATGCACAGCAAGCGTTTTATTTGTGAACGGAAATGACGGGAAACGTGGGTTTAGAGGTGGCGAGTGCATGAAGAGGTGGAGGAGAATGAGAGACAAATTTGTCTGTGTTAAAAAGTCTCTTATATACAAAAAACACAATATAAACACACTATCTTGGACCGATACATGACAGGATACCACAGAACAGCGCTACGCTCTCTGTTGGCCTGGTGGGGAACTGCTTTGCAACACTCTCCAGGAGACGGAGAAGTATGAGAGCAAAACGCTTCCGTCAATCCGTGCGTGTCTGTCCCTTGCGGAGCTGACGGAGAAGCATGAATCAGGCTTTAGGCTCTTTTCCTACAATGATAATGGCCTGACTTGGCTGGCCTGTAGCTCTTCCATCTGCATAATGAGGAAATTCCAGGCATTTTTGCCAAGAAGCAGCTGGAACAGGACAAGAGGAGATGACAAAGAGGAAAGGATAACATTTTATGTTGTAGCGTGCATGAAAATTATACTGTTGGCAATCCAAAAAACACAGAAATATGATGTTGCTGTGATCAAACCCTAGATGCACTGATGTTCAGCTAAATCAAGAGGAAGGAAAAAACACGAGTGTTAAACCCCACACAACACCTAAAAATATCCTTTCTCACTTCTATTGTGAGACCAAATGAACACTTTTTGTTTAAACATAACACAGAGTCAGGAAACAGAAGGGGACAAAGGATTTGGTTGTACTGGAGCTAAGCTAGTCTTAAACAGGCAAAACTCATATTCTGCATCCCTTAGTGCTACCATGTGGGTCTCTACTGCCTCTAAATCTTTCCAAATGTGAAAAGAATACTTACATATATATTGTGTTGGTGTTTTGTTTTTGGAATTGTGTGTCTAAAACAAGCCGTTTCAAAATGTCCCTGTTAGTGACAGCACAAATTAGGAAATTAGAAAAGAACCACCTCTCATGTGCAAGAGAGAACTGCTGCAGGAGGAGCAGCAGCTCTACTCCTAGCCCCTCCCGGATATTGGAGCGTCTAAGCTTATAGCAGCCTGAGCTGGGAAAGGGTGGGCGTAGCCAACTCTAGGTTATATTCTTGCTGTGTATTCTTTCCCCTGGAGGCGTGTCACATAACGTAGCGACCACGTTAAAATGGATGGGTCTGTTTCCACCTGCTCCAAAGCGTTACACTTTGGAAGTGTCCCAGAAGCACAGGTACACGTTGCTTATGCTTCAAGTCTATTTTTTTGTGCCCTACGCTTCCAGAATGCATCAACCTCTGCAGTTCAAATAGGGCCAGACAGAAAGTCAAACACAAAAGAGCGTAAAACATCTGGAAACTTTCAAAATAAAAGTTGCACTTTTCCAGTTGCAGTTTTGGAAACATGCTGCCATATTTCTTCTTGATTGTTATCATGTGAGCTGCCAAAATCACACATGGTGTTGCACTTCTCAGGTGATTTTGTGACCTTGGAGGATCAGGTGCATGGATCACTTTTGCTGCCGTTTTGCAGCATCATCTGAAACTTTCCCATGGGAAGGGGGGTCACGACTAATCCGCTGTTCCGACTATCCGTGCTCCCCGTCAAAATGTGCTACTTTGGGGAAATAAGCATGTGCAGCAAATGCGCAGGCCAATTATTACATCACAGGCTGTTTACAGGTCGAGACGCGCTACCTGTGGATGTTTACGTTTAATCTCGTCACTCATCTAGTTACTTTCAACTCGTCGAAGGTCACAGTAAGTATTTCTTTAAGTTGTTTTATTAAATTACTGCTTGCTGTATGTTTACCTGACAGTTGGCTTGTAAATGGTTTCTAAAATATCAATATTATACTGTAAACAAGAAATTTCTCCCATTGTTTACATTCATTCTGAAAGAGTCCCAAATTAGTGTCAAAAAGTTTTATATCATACATATAATAAATTTATCATAGTTGTATAATAATCTCCAAAATTATACATTCAAACAAATAACTATAAGTATTGGGGGGAAAGCATATTTGTTCTGTGGATTAATTTGTCCAATAAAGGATTAGGTAGAGAAACAGAAAGGTAAGAGCTAACGTCTTACCGTTTTTATGAATCACTTTCTCGACATGGGTGAAAGTAGTTGGTAAATTGTCATTGTTCTGAGAATATTCAAATGTTTTTAGCAACTAAGGGGTCAATTTTTACGAAATGACTAAACTGCTTCTTACACTATCCACTTTTTTCATAAAATAAATTAACAGTAGCTACCGATTTTCAGTAAACCAGGACATACTGAATCAGCTGTTGAAATGCGCGTTGGCAGGAAAATTCGACAAGGAAGCACGGCTAGTCAGAACACCGCGTCTATTACGTTACGCAACACTAATACATCAAGTGGAAACTAAGGCCTAGTTTAAAAGTGGCAGAACCCTCAAACAACTCATTCTGGAAGGTACTGAAACTGTCAAGAATAAAACAGCTGAAATATCGTTAGATGAGAGGGATTTAGTGCAAAAATATTTAAAAGCATGTTTTAAGAACAATAAAAAAAGTCAGAAAATATCCCCTTTAAATACCTGTAACTTTCTGCAAAGGTCCCAGTTTGCCTATAGGAAGTCAGTTTACCTGAAACACTCTCAAAGACTTAATAGCATCATTTTGTTTTCTTGCACTACATGAATCGTTCATGCTCTTTATTCCTGAAAAGCAATCCCATAAGTGGAACATTTTATCCCAAGTTTGCTGTCATAAAGCTTGTTTTTTTTAGCAGGGACTGAAGAACAACACCCCGGGCATTTGAACCGACTTAAACTCGTAAGAGGAAAGGCTGAGGCGTGATTGCAAAGGCTGGGTGGAACACTGCAGGCTCGCTGGCAAGCCTGTGTTTATTCCCTACCCTGTGGGTAAAGACAGCCGGCTCGTCACTTGAATGTGTTATGACTGCTGAGTGGAAAGAAAACACTATGTGTGAGAGCGCGGATAAAAAAAGTCACAACACCCACCACAGCTGAAAGCACAAAACTTGTACGTACGACAACTGCAATGTAAATAAATAAAACATGCACGTCTCTCTGGGGAGGTGCAATATGCTTATTTCACTAGCCGTTGTTGCGGGTTTCATTTAAGTCTATTTATTTTCCAATTGAAAGTAATCTTTTTGTTCTCTGGCTGCGTTTTCCAGCACCTTTATATGTCCTCACCCAGAGGATGAATCCAACCTTCTCGCTAGTCTGCGTTAAAAACCAGGCTGATGATTTTTGCCTGAACAGAAGCTGCTTTTTCCTGCCTAAAACGCTTCAAATGTTCTTCAGCATCAGTGGTTTACTTCACATCTGACACTGAAATTATTTGATTTTACGGTTCAGATGATTTCCCGGGTCTCTCGTCTCTAGCTGGTTTATTCAACATTAAGAACCAGCTGTGCAAGCAAGATCCTCACACACTGCTCTTGTTCGCACTGGGCCAAAAATGTGTGCGACCCAAGATGAAAGAAGGGGTTTTATTTCATCTTTTCTTTGGTACTGAGTAGAAATTGTGTTCTATTTGGCGGATACTCACACAGATGAAATCTCGCCGTGCTCTGGCTCGTCATCTGAGCTGCTGCTGCTCCCCGTAGCCTCCGAGTCGAGGGCCTCCTGTAGCAACACCTGGCTGGAATCATAGAACGCTGTGACCTCTTTGGAGCGACGCAAAGCTGCAGGTGACTTTTGCCAAGAAAAATGTGCATCAGTGCGGCCTTGTAGAGGTGCAAAACTAGGATGTGGAAAATTCAAATTGCCAAGGGATATATCTGAAAGTGGACAAAGCTTCTTTAGCCCTTCCTGCGATTGGGTGTAGTGCTGGTAAGCTCTGTCGTGTAGCCGAACCTTCACAGCCTCTTCTTTAACAAGTTTAGAGTCCAGCTGATCAAGCTTGAACATGTCAGAGCCAGGCTGCTCTCTGGCTGGAATGAAAAAGGGAGGAGACGGAGGAGGCGGGGCTGCATACAAGGGAGGGTGACCCCAAGATGTGATCTTTCCACAGGAATAGGAGGGGAAAGCGTTATTAGAGGAGCGATGCACATCACCACCATCTGGCCCACATTCAGGAACCACATTCTGTAGATGCAGCAGACAAGCCTTTTGGCTGTTGAGCTCAGAGGAGATTAAAAACATGCTCGTTACACCTGGGATGACAGCAGCCACTCGATGAGACTCTCTCTGGCATTTATCCACAAACAGGAAGCGGTAGAGGGAGTCTGGACTGGAAATAGGCACCTCCTCACAGGAAGTGGGAGATGTTTGCACACATGTTGGAGATCCAGTGATTACAGGGGGGTCTGAGGGTCCTGAGGGGACGCGGGAGTCCAGAGAATTCTGAGGGTCAGCAGCATCCGTGGATCTGATGCCTGGCTCTGACTCAACAGTGCACTTGGCTCGGCCTTCTGAGTCCCTTTTGGTCGGGTCTTTGGTCAGGACTGAGGCCATCCCTTCCCTGAAGCAGCAGGTTTCACAGGTTGGACCTTAAAGGGTCTGACACAAATCCAACTGTTGGTCACTTTGACAGTTAAAGGAATCTTAACACAATTTTAAGAATGTTTCAAGGTAGCTTAAAATCCTGATCAAAAGAATATATATAAAAAAGTTAAACTAAACCGCTGAAATAAGACAACCCGCATTTTATCCATTTTCACTCCGCCGTTAGCTAACGGTTCTTAGCGTCAATTAATCAGTTTTCTACTTACTTACTTACTTAACCTAGTTCGTATTTTGTATATTCGCAGACCTAATTAAAGCGACATACTTATCCTTATTTTATCTAAGTGTTCAGAAACTCACATGACCACGGTGTGAGCTGTTGACCAGATCGCATCCTTCGTCTCGTGACACTACGTTTGAGTCTTTCGGTGGTAGTTTTGCGAATCGGCGCACTTCAGTCTGGTAGAGTGCATATTTATTATCTACAAGCCCGTTTACCAACGAGGAGACAGACGTTCCTGCGTCTTCCTCCGCCTCCTCTCCCCAACTGCTGACAGTCAGAACCCCGGACCGTTAACACGGAGGAGGGGCTGGGTCCGATTCCTGGTGCCTTCAAGGTCTGTTCTGAAGCTCGGACACGTCCATACTCACCGTCCTCAGGATTAGTTGTGCTCCAAATTAAAATTTCTACATAAAATTACTACAGTGGAAACCAGCGTTTATTTGAAATTCAAACACGATAATAGGAATAGTTTCCAGAATGCAGAATATCTAAACATTTTATTCACAATTGTAAAAAAGGGGGAAATGTCATTTTTAAAACCTTTTTTTCCTGATTTTAATTTACAACTAAAGAATACATGTAATGCTTTTTTTCTTGAATTGTAATAGTTCTATGGTTGATGTAAACCATGCATGAAGTTCATTGAACAAAACCAGTCTCAAATAAAATGATTTCAGCAGTTTTATGAGCAATATTGTTGGTATTTTCAATACCTTCCAGAATGAGTCATTTCAGGGCTCTGTCACTTGAAAGAAGGAATCAGTCTTTTCTCAGAGGTCATCACCTGGAAATGGGACCCTGCAGAGAAAACTCATTTTGGCAGCATTATCGCCATTTTCATTCTTTTGGTCACTACCCAAAGCTCATGACCATAGGTGAGGGTTACAACGTAGATCAACCAATAAATCGAGAGCATCCCCTTCCGGCTCAGCTCTCTCTCAACCATGACAGATCGGTATGCCTCCATCACTGCAGATGCAGCACCAATCTGCTTATCGACCCCACTCTTCATTTTCCCCTCACTTGTGAACAAGACACCAAAATACTTAAACTCTTCTATTTGAGGCAGGACCTCATCTCTGACCTGGAGATGGCATTCTACTGTTTTCCGACTGAAGACCATAGTCTTTGATTTAGAGGAGCTGATTCTCATCCCAGCTCCATCACACTCGGCTGCAAACCTCTCCAGCAAAAGCTTGAGATCACTGTCCGATGAAGCCAACAGGACCACAACATCTGCAAAAAACAGATACCCAATCCTCAGGCCATCAAAATTGACTCATCAACATCTATAAATGTATTAGGTCATACTATATGAGGTTTACTATCCATCCATCCATCCATTTTCTTTTTTTTTCTTCCCCGTGTCCTGTCTGGCTGTGAAGCAAACAGAACTAATGTCTGAATGTGTCACGCCCTGTCCTGTCTTCTCTTAGGTTTTAGTCGGTGTCTCCGTTAATTGCTCCCACCTGCCTCTTGTTTCCCAATCACCATAGCTCCCTCTCCTCTTGTATTTAAACCCCTTCTGTTCTGTATTCCATGTCGTGTCATTGTTTCAGTGTCCAGCGTGTGTGTTCAAATGAACCTTTGTTAAATGGACTCACCTGTTCGCCTTGTTCCTCCCCGCGTTTCGATCCTCATCTGATCACCGCTCCACTCACCAGGCACGCACGTTCGTGACAGAATGGCACGACCTCCTGAAGGGTCCAGCGGGGAGATCCTCCCATGGAAGTATCTATTCCAGTTTCTCTCCGCCGACTATCGACCGGCATCTCCTTCCCCAGCTCCAGCTCCGCCTCGCCGCAGACGGCGTCCCCAACCTTCTGCCTCGGCGTTCCTCGCCGCCCTTCCGGAACCAGATGGGAGGTTGGATGGAGAGACGCTCCGGGATCGCTCCAGCTTCGAGGGCACGAGGCTGGCTTTCTGCTCCCCCGGGGTCGGTCTACGGTGTGGGGAGAGACGCCGGAATCCACCGCAGCCCTGCGCTTCAGGATGGAGCTGCGAGCCCGCCGCTGACCGTGCTTGGCGAGCCAGTTCGGACACGCCCCCGGTCAGACCAGCGGTCCCGTCTCCGGCCGAATCGGCGTCTACAGGAGGAGGAGCTGCGCTCGCAGCCCTGTGGGCGGAGCACGCCAGTCTACAGGTTGAGACAGCCCAGGTTCATCAGACCGTCAAACTCCAAGTCCTCCAGCTGGATGATCTGCTCGCTGAACTGCGCGGGCTCCAGCTGGACGATCTGCTCGCTGAGCTCCAGCTGGACGAACTGTTCGCGGCTCCGGCTGGATGCAGCTGCTTGGACCCGTCCCCGGTTGGACCAGCTGTCCCGCCTCCGGTCCACTCGGCTCCTCTGTCATCTGTGGGAGGTGGAACCACACCCACAATCCAGCCAACTGAACTGGCCAGTCAACGGGCTGAGCTGGTCCGGCTTCAACAGAGCGCCCATTCTAATCAGCTCCGACTGGACGCTCTGCCCTCCCTGTCTTCAGCACTAGCACTGCTCGTTCACTCAAGGCCTGTTCCAGGGGGGGTCCAGAAGCAGACAGTGCAGGCCCGGAAGCAGACGGTGCAGGCCCGGAAGCAGACGGTGCAGGCCCGGAAGCAGACGGTGCAGGCCCAGAAGCAGACGGTGCAGGCCCAGAAGCAGACGGTACCAGCCCAGAAGCAGACGGTACCAGCCCAGAAGCAGACGGTCCCGGTTCCAGCCCAGAAGCAGACGATGTAGGTCCAGAAGCAGACGGTACCAGCCCAGAAGCAGATGGGTCCGGTGCAGGCCCAGAAGCAGGCGTTACCAGCCCAGAAGTCGGCGGTTCGGAGACCGGCGGTCCAGAAGCCGGAGAACCAGAAGCCGATGGAAGGCGACGCCCCCGGGCCACGGGTCGACGCCTCCCAAGTCAGCTCGTCTGATGTTGCCGCCTCCCAAGTCGGCTCCCAAGACGACGTCGCCTCCCAAGTCGGCTCGTCTGACGACGTCGCCTCCCAAGTCGGCTCCCAAGTCGACGTGTCCGAAGTCGTCTCCCAAGTCGACGTGTCCGAAGTCGCCTCCCAAGTCGACATGTCCGAAGTCGCCTCCCAAGTCGACGTGTCCGAAGTCGCCTCCCAAGTCGACGTGTCCGAAGTCGCCTCCCAAGTCGACGTGTCCGAAGTCGCCTCCCAAGTCGACGCCTCCAAGCCAAGGGTCGACGCCTCCAAGCCAAGGGTCGACGCCTCCAAGCCAAGGGTCGACGCCTCCTCTGATGTCGGCTCGTCTGAAGTCGGCTCGTCTGTCGCCTCGTCTGATGACGTCGCCGCCCCTGAAGTCGGCTCGTCTAATGATGTCGCCTCCTCTGAAGTCGGCTCGTCAGACGACGTCGCCTCCTCTGAAGTCGGCTCGTCTGACGTCGCCTCCTCTGACGTCGGCTCGTCTGGTGACGTCGCCTCCTCTGAAGTCGGCTCGTCTGGTGACGTCGCCTCCTCTGAAGTCGGCTCGTCTGGTGACGTCGCTTCCTCTGACGTCGGCTCGTTCGAAGACGTCGCCTCTGGTCTGACGTCTCCTCCGTCTCCGGTTCCAATGGTGATTCTGAAGGTTGCTCCGGTCCAGCCTGCAGGGACTTTATCGCCGGTCCTGCCTGTGTCCCCGGCCCAGCCTGCAGGGCTCCTCTACCGCATGCGCCGCCGTCCCAGGGCCCGTCGCCTCCTCTTCTGCCCCAGGCGCAGGCCCCCAAGGGTCCGTCCTCGTCTCCTCATCTGCCCCATGCGCAGGCCCCCAAAGGTCCGTCCTCGTCTTCTCATCTGCCCAAGGCGCCGGCCTCCAAGGGCCCGTCGCCTCCTCATCTGCCGCGGGCGCAGGCCTCCTGACTCTGCTGATCCCTGCCGCCTCTCCTGTGGTCCCTCGGTTCCTCTGGGCCCTCCCTCCGGGTCCCCCTCCTCCCGCCCTGCTCCTTGTTCCTGTGGGCGTCTGGGATCCGCCCTTTCAGGGGGGGGGGGGGGGGGCGGGGGTACTGTCACGCCCTGTCCTGTCTTCTCTTAGGTTTTAGTCGGTGTCTCCGTTAATTGCTCCCACCTGCCTCTTGTTTCCCAATCACCATAGCTCCCTCTCCTCTTGTATTTAAACCCCTTCTGTTCTGTGTTCCATGTTGTGTCATTGTTTCAGTGTCCAGCGTGTGTGTTCAAATAAACCTTTGTTAAACGGACTCACCTGTTCGCCTTGTTCCTCCCCGCGTTTGGATCCTCATCTGATCACCGCTCCACTCACCAGGCACGCACGTTCGTGACAGAATGCTGGTGACAAGCGTTACAGATTTACTCTCAGGTGGAACATCAAAGCTTCTGTTTTTAATGTCACGCCTGATACTTAAAACTTAATTGTTATTGTTTTTTGAATGCTTGTAATTCCAACCAGACACGGAGGCAGAGGTGAAAGAGAAAGGAAGAGACAAAAGAAGGGGGGGTCCACAAAAACAAACAATCAATGATGAACTAGAGTCTGCTTCTAGACCTGCAGAAGGAGAGAAAAAAAAGAAAAGGGCCACACAACAATACAACAGCAGCAAGCTATCACTGCATCAACCTGATGAGGAAATATAAAATCAACATTGCTTTACTGAACAATCCTGATAATCAATCACAGTGCATTAAGTGCCAACCACAGCCTTAAGACATGTGTTGAACGTGCCCAAGTCCATACTTATGAGAGCACCATGTGAGCACCTGTGTGTGTACACACGCTTGTATATGTAAGGTTTCTCTATAGGAGCATCCAATAGAATAGAGCATGTGAGGGGCCACATATCTGCCCCCCAAAGATGCGTAGCAGATGGAAGGAGCTCTGAGTCTTAGAGATTCAGGAGCTGCCCCAGAGCGCAGGGACCCCAGAGAGACTGCGACCAGAAAAGCCCCTGTCCCCCTCGAGAGGCGCAGAGGATTGCCCCGGGGGGCCACAACCAGCAGCCAGCAGAGTCCCGGAGGATATCAGCGGCAAGCTCACAGGCCCGCCCGCAGCATCCCAACCCCAAGCCGGCCGAGCCCGGAACCCAGCGTCCCGGGACCCAGGGGCGACCAGCCCCGCCGGGGACCCAGCAGAGCCCAGGGACCCAGACCCCACCAGGCAGCCACCGGGATTAATCAGGCAGACGCTAAAAATCTTAAACCCCCTGACCTGGGAGCCACAAACACTCAGGCAGACCAAGGCACCACACTCTACACCAGGTGTCGCAGGGGGAGGGGAGGCAAAGATGTATAGCAGCAAAAGAAGTCCCAGGAGAGGGGAGGAGTCAACGGCCCCACCTGACATATACAGTCATATACAAACACAGTCACACACTCCCTCCC